AGAGTGTTGCGTTAACACAGCTGATGGGCAGAGTGGTGACCACTCTGAACATCCCTTCTGGCCCCACAAGAAAGGCTGTCCTTTTTTTTTTTTTTTTTTTTGAGGTGGAGTCTCACCCTGTTCACTCTGTTGCCTAGGCTGGAGTATAGTGGCATTAGCTCACTGTAACTTCTTTCTCCTGGGTTCAAGCGATTCTCCTGCCTCAGCCTCCTGAGTGGCTGGGATTACAGGCATGTGCCACTATGCCCAGCTAAGTTTTGTATTTTTAGTAGAGACAGGGTTTCGCCATGTTGGCCTGACTGGTCTCGAACTCCTGACCTCAGGTGATCCGGCCGCCTAGGCCTCCTGAAGTGCTAGGATTACAGGCATGAGCCACTGTGCCTGGCCAGAAAGGCTGTCCTTTTAACCTATGGGCAGAGTGAGCCCTGGAGAGGATTTCGAGCAGTGTTGGAAATAGGATGAAGCTGGACGAAACGTCTCATGCTGTGTCAGCAGGCTGAGAGGGCGAAAACTGCCTAACAGAGTAGAAAGAGTGGGCTGGGAGCCGGAAAGACCTGCATTCATATCCCAGCTTCCCTGGGGTCTTGGGCAGGCCCTTAACTGCTCTGAACCTCATCTGTGAGGTTGCACGGGGATTCCACGAAAGAATGTATGTGAAACGTTTGCACCTTGGCTGGTAGAGAGTAGACATAACTCTTATTTTGATCTACTAATTCCCAAAGGATGCACCACTGTAGGGGTGCAGGAAATGAGAAGCGAAGGCACTGATACCTTGACAGGAGCCAGTTGTGCTGGGCGGGAGCCCATAGCGAGGGGAGTGAGCTCTTGCATCTGTAGTCAGTGACTGCCATTGTGCAGTGACGTACAGCTGGGAGGCCACCTCTTACTCTACCAAGATCCTGTTAATCTTATATACTGAGGTGGCAAGAGGGCGAGGGCTTGTGTCCAGTTACTTGGACATGTAGTGAGAGAATGAAGCAGTGGGTAGCATTTGATTAAACTCTTCAAAGAGAGTGAAGGGTTGGGATGGTGGTTGTGGGGAGCATCTGAGAGGATCAACAGCAGGTGAACCTTTAGCTCTTGTGTCTGAACAGTTGCCTGGTGGCAGGCAGAATTTAGAAGACCTCTGAAGGCCTTTCCTGCCCTGGGCTTCTGTGACTCAAACCTTGCCTGTGCAATCTTGGAGTAGTTACATATATTGTATATTTCTAGTATTTTGTGTCAGACAGTGTAACTATGTTCTTTATTGGAGCCATGTAGAAACCAGCCTTCTAAAGATCACTTGGTGATAATTCTAAGAAAAAATGACACATAATGCACGCACACACACACAGAAAATTAATCTTTATCATACATATGTATGTACTTTGATTTTTTTTTCCTCTTAATCCATATGATTATTTTTTCCCCGTAATCCTGTGTCTTATGTGGTAGGATTATTCTGTTTGTACAGAGGTGCATGCTGAGGCTTAGAGAAGTTAAGCCATTTGCCCAGCATTGCTCAGTTGTCTAGAGAAAGGGTAATTGAAGATTTTTGTTGCTGTTTTTTAACTTGAGTCTTTCCCAAATCCTGGGTTTTTCTCACTACCTAGACTGTGCGGCTTGATGTCTGAGAATAGAGTATGATTAATGCATTGTTCTCCTTGGGGCATGTTTCTTTCTAGCCTGCCTAGGTAGGAGATAAGATGCTGCTTACCCCTTAATCCCAGCTATTCAGGAGGCTGAGGCAGGAGAATCACTTAAACCTGGAAGGCGGAGGTTGCAGTGAGCTGAGAGGCCCCGCCATTGCACTCCAGCCTGGGTGGCAAGAGCGAGAATCCGTCTCAAAAAAAAAAAAAAAAAAAAACATTCTTGTTGAGTCTCGTTCTTGTCTCCCAGGCTGGAGTGCAGTGGCACGATCTCGGTTCACTGCAACCTCCACCTCCCCGATTCAAGCCATTCTCCTGCCTCAGCCTCCCAGGTAGCTGGGACTACAGGCATGTGCCACCACGCCTGGCTAATTTTTTTGGTATTTTTAATAGAGATGGGGTTTCACCATGCCTGGCCAGGTTGATCTCAAACTCCTGACCTCAAGTGGTCCGCTTGCCTCAGCCTCCCAAAATGCTGGGATAATAGACGTAAGCCACCAAGCCTGGCCAAAAAAAAATGTAGATTCTTTATGTCTGGGCCAGGGCCCTGGAATATGCATTTCTGTGAAGTTCCCCAGGTGTTTCTGACCCAGGTTGTTTCTGGTCACACTTTGAGAGACTGTCCTCCAGAGTTGGGCAGCATGGAAGTAATTACAAGCCAGTGTGCTGAGACGACAACAGAGGAACGCCCAGGGACTGGGAGAGCACAGCGTGGGGGCACGTACCTGAATCAGGCTAGGGGAGGCTTTCCTGAGAAGCTGATATCTGATCTGACTCTTGAAGGATGAGTAGGAGAGTTTACCAGACATATGAGTTGGGGAAAGAGCATTCCGGACAGATCAGGTTGGGAGAGTTGTTTTTGTTTTCTCCTGCAGATGACAAGGGAAACTGTCATTCATCTGTTGAGTCTTGGCATTGAATTTGCCTGAGGCAAGATAAGGACCTTAGTTCACCAGGTATGGGTGTCTTTTATGGATACCAAGAAGGAGGAAGACCTCAGGGCCCTTCTGTCTAATAATGAGCTTGGCATGATTTCAGTGTCTGTAAAGGGCAGATAAACTGTAGGATGTATTAGTCCTTTCATGCAAGGGACAGTCAGACAGGTCACAGAAGCTACAGTGTTGACCAAAAAAATGCTCTTTTTGTGCTTAGATGAGCCAAAGCTCAGAGGAAGATAGTCACCTGCTGAACTTTTTGGGTATGGCACTATATACCAAATTTTAGATATAACACACAATTGGGCATGCTATCCCTTTATTTATTTATTTATTTATTTATTTATTTATTTATTTATTTATTTATTTATTTATTTTGAGATGGAGTCTCGCTCTGTGGAGTCTCGCTCTGTCGCCCAGGCTGGAGTGCAGTGGCGCGATCTCGGCTCACTGCAAGCTCCGCCTCCCGGGTTCACGCCATTCTTCTGCCTCAGCCTCCTGAGTAGCTGGGACTACAGGCACCCGCCACCACTCCCGGCTGATTTTTTTTTGTATTTTTGGTAGAGACGGGGTTTCACCGTGTTAGCCAGGATAGTCTCGATCTCCTGACCTCGTGATCTGCCTGCCTCGGCCTCCCAAAGTGCTGGGATTACAGGCATGAGCCACCACGCCCGGCTGCTATCCCTTTATTGTCTGACAAGATGAGAAAATAGGTTTTCTGATTAAGAGAAGTTCCATTATGTGTACCTAACAAAGGGATTACTAATTTTCGGAGAACAGTATTGCAACAGAATGTTCTTAGTCATGATTTGAATGACTTCTATTTCATGTTTATCCAGAACGTATTGATTGGGTAAGGCCGATGCGTTTCTTAGGAGCAACACTCAACAGCTGAAAAGTACTGTGCACCTGTTCTACCCAAAGCATATTGTGGATACAAAGAGATATAAACTCCATCCCTGCCCTCAAGGGATTTACAGTCAGGTAGGGAAAGTAGAATAAGTGCACAGGTAATGAGGACATTCTGCAGGTGGTGGCAAATGACATAAGAAAAGAATAGAATGCCGCAGTTCAGAGGTGTGAAGAGGCAACCCTTCTGGAGGTGGCCTTTCCCACAGTCCAGTCCAGTAGTATCAGTCGTTGCACTGTAGGTGCTAGGTGTGTGGAAGGACCAGTGGGTGGTAAGTTCTAGTTGACGGAATGCAGGCTAGATCCATTGAGACACTAATTTTACATCTTGCATCTTGGAGTATTGCCTTTCTCAGTAGGAAAGACCCATTGTTCTCCCAGTTGTCCACACCAATGACATGGGATGGTCCCTGATACTGGGAATGAATAATATCCATCAAAACCCTGTAAGGGTCCCTTGCCCGGGTTGGAATTTGTCATGGAAAGAGCACAGGGGGCAACTCCTGGCCCAAGGCGCTGTGTGTGTTTCTGAAAGGGTGAGCTGGTGCCTGGGCTGATGCTGAATGTGACAAGGCAACTAGATTGTTGCATGGTACTTACTCCCTGGGCATAGGAAGTGGCTTTAGAGTCTCACAAGGAGAGCACTGGAAAGGCTGTGTGATAGCCAGCTAAAGCTGCAGGGTGGGAGCCATGACTGCAGAGAGGGAAGGAGGGGAATTGCCGGCTTCCAATTTAACCCCTCAACTGCTGAATGTTAGCCAGCATTGACTTGGGATATTTATTATTTCACCACAGTGGCCACCCATGAGGGAGGAGGTCTTATCTCCTTTTTGCTGTAAGGAAACTGAAACCCAGGGGGAAGTGATCTGTTCCAGAACCCAGGGCTGATGTGTGGCAGGAGGGGCCTGGAGTGCAGGTCTTCTTGGTGTCTGTCTGCCCCCTGCCCGTTGTTCTGGCTTGGTACCCGTATCCACAGTCTGCTGCAGGCCTCCTCCTCCCTGCCTGTTCTGTGCACAGCAGAGGACTGAATGTTGACAACCAGTTGCTGTTCCCCTCGGGCACCATCTGTTTCTACCAGGTTGAGGACAAATTAAGCAAGATCTTGCTTGGAAGGGAACTAGTTGTATGTAGCAGCAAACACCAAGGTGACACTTGTTTGTGCTACCAAAAGTTGAAGCCAGAATCCTTATCTAAACTGATTTGTAAAAGTCCTGTGACAACTCCACAGAACACCTCATTTCTGTACTGTCACCAAAGGTGAGAAAGGTGGTGCTTCCGCAAGCCCTTTCAGGTTAATTTTTTTTGTGTGGGTAGTGGGAGGGATGGAGTCTGGCTCTCACTCTGTCGCCCAGACAGGAGTGCAGTGGTGCGATCTTGGCTCACTGCAACCTCCGCCTCCCGAGTTCAAGGAATTCTCGTGCCTCAGCCTCCCAAGTAGCTGGTAGCACCTGCCACCACACTCGACTAATTTTTGTATTTTTGGGAAAGATGGAGTTTTACCATGTTGGCCAGGTTGGTCTCGAACTCCTGACTTCAGGTGATGCACCTGCCTTGGCCTCCCAAAGTGCTGGGATTACAGATGTGAGCAACTGTGCCTGGCCTCAGGTTAATTTTTGAACCCTCAACCATTTCTGTTGAAAGAAGCTGCTTTTTATTTTTTTTTAAGGAATGTGGCTTGTTTTTCATTACATCTCTGTTATCAGAGCAAAGAGAAAGCAGTGTACTGGACAGTAACTTAGTGGAAAAGAGGCTGTGGCTGCTGATTTTGAAACATTATCCAGGATGGAGCCAAAGAAAACAGTCACTTCCTCCAGTGACAGCCCATGAGTTTGACCCGCCCCCTCCCACCCCTTTTCCTTGAAGAGGTAAATTTTAGTCCAGGAAAACAGAATACGTTAGGGCTATTTAAAAAAATGCTTTGAAATTCCTTCTTCTGCCCTAATTCCTTAGCACCAGTAAGATACTAGTTTCTTACCTCTTCTTTCCTAGGGTTTCTTGACTCTTATTTCTTGCTAATTTGCAGCAACAGTGGGTTGAAAGAGCCCTGAGAATGGTAACAGAGGGGCACAGATACAGGGGCCTGAGCCATATCTGTGCCCCCCTGTAACCATTGTTTCTCTGGGCAGGGCTCATCTGAACTTGAACCCCAGACCTCACAAGAGGCTTCTATTGCTGGTTGCTGGAAATGGTGATAAAATCCTGCGAGGGAAGGGGCAGTGCAGAGAAGGAGACTTGGCTTTGGGTATGGCTGGAGTGTGACACACTGACTTCTTTTCCTGAAAGTGGCTCAGGGTTTGCCGGGACTGTATTTCACATAAGACTTTGGTTTCCTCGGGCATTGCATCAAGGAGGCCAGAGTATTATTTATTATTGCTTGGTTTTCTTGCTTAACACACAAGACTTAAGGATCTCCCAACTGTGACGCATGGTCTCGATGTGGCTTCAAATACCGTCCAATTGATCTTGTGGTTTCCATCGAGGGTTTGAAATCCCTTGTCACCCACCAGGCAGGCAGTGGTGTGAATACCTGTGATTTCCCACCTCTCTGGGTGTGGTTCTGGAGTGCCGTAGGGAGGTTAGGACAGGCTGGGGCGGACCGCCAGCACAAATAGAACCTAGTCATTCCTGCGTCTCTCTGTAAGGTTCCAGATTCATGAGCCAGGCTCAGCTTGTGCTGGGTTACTGTAAACCAGGATGAGAGCGCCACGGCCAGAGAGCCACGGTTCAGTCTTGCACTGGTCATGTGAAAATCACACACCCACAGCCTTGCCTTAGGCTTTGGAGGACCCCTTCATGCTGCTGCTTGTACCGTGTAGCTAAGAGGCACGAGGGACGACTAGCTCCTATGGTTACTTGACTCAGCGGTCACCAGGTTCAGGACTTTGTGAAGGGTTTTTGGCCAGGATAGGTATGCTTGTGAGACTGACATCAGCCCTGCCCACGGGGAATTTAGAGTGGGGTGGTGGCAGGGAGTCTGTGATCAGTCAGGGAACAAGACTAGCTAAAACACAGTTCTGCACAAAATATTGTGGGCAGTTTGGCTAAAACAGGGGTTCTAAACTAGGGACAGTTTTGCCCTTCCCCCGTAGAGGACATTTGGCAGTGTTCGGACATTGTTAGCTGTCACAGTGAGGGGAGTGGGAAGTTGCTACTGGCATACCTAGTTAACAGAGGCGAGGGATGTTGCTAAACATCCTACAATGTACAGTTCAGTCTTGTACAACAAATAATTACCTGATTCCAAATGTCGGTAGAGCTAAGGTGGAGAAACCTTGGGATAGAAATCACAGACTCATAGTAGTCCATTTTGCTTGGGAAGCAGGAGTCACAGGGCTGAGGGAAGAAGTACCATATTGTTTTAATAAAGGGGAAATGGGTAGACCTTTCCTGCTGCTTTCTAAGCAATGTGTGTTCATTATCTGCCCAGAAATTTAGAATTTTGACATTGGTTGTCCCACTAATCACCAGGTACTCTGTCTTATCAATGACAGGTACAGAGTCATTTTTTGTGGGCCAGTAGATATGACCAAGCCCATCTGAAATATGGATATGACCAAGCCCATGTGAAAAGTCAGATGGAACTGACGTTTCATCTCTTACTCAAATAACCTGGATTACCACCCCCGAGGAGGACAGGATCTCAGTAGTACCCAAATGACTTTATACATACAACTTAAAGAACAATTAGGCATAGTTATTTTAGTAGTAGCCCATATTTGAAGCCAGGTACCTATTGCTGTGGGTATAAGAAATTAGCTGGATATGGTGCTGTGCACCTAAGGTCCCAGCTACTTGGGAGGCTGAGGCGGAATGTTTATTGTAATCTATCATTAGTAACATACTGACGTCCACCCGGTCCCCGTTTTCTAAATCACCGAAGTCTATTTTAATCTTCAAGTCCAAGCTCTTAGAGTTCTAAAAGTTCTTGTTTCTTTAAAGTTTTTCTGTCTTTTGGAGACACAGCCTCTGGATTCTGAAGATCCTTTTATCCTGTGCCTGTTTGCAGTGAGACCCTTGTAAATGTGACTCCTTGTCAGAGTTAGAAGTAAACAGTTCCCTTGAGCAGTGCTGAACTTTTTGCTGGCAATACATCTCTGGTGCTGGTCCCAAGACAGACAACCACACAAGGCAAGTCCCATTACGATCTTTGCTCCCAGCAGGGTCTGCTGCAGTGAGGTGGAACTGCTGAGGGAAAAAAAAAAGGGTGTTAAATTTAGAATTATGCTTATAATGAGGAATGAGATGTGGCATATGCCTTTCTCAAATGAAACTGGCAAATCTCTTCTTAAGCACATCAGCAACAAATTAACTTGTACCTTCAATATTTCAGATCCTTTTGAAAACTATACTTCTTTCTTCTTTCGAGGTGAGGAAGTGGATATTCTATTTGACTAAGAGCTATTTTCAAGATACAGTAAAGACTGTTGAGCTGGAGCCCAGTTACAGAAAGGATAAGGAATCAAAATCAGAAGATCAGGGTTTTGACAGTCCCGATTCTGTCATATTCAATCTTAGGTCTAAGTGTCATTCATTTCTTTATAAGATAGGGGGGCAGTAGCACCTCTTCAGAGACCCTTGCAGTTCTTTTTTTTTTTTTCTTTTGAGACAGAGTCTCACTGTGTCACCCAGGCTGGAGCACAGTGGCATGATCATAACTTACCGCAGCCTCAACTTCCCAGGCTCAAGTGATCATCCCACCTCAGCCTCCCCAGTAGCTGGGACCTTAAGTGCATGGCACCACACTCAGCTAATTTCTTATATTTTGAAGAGACAATCTTGCCATGTTGCCTAGGCTGGTCTGGCAACTCCTGGGCTCAAGCAGTCCTCCTACCTCTACCTCCCAAAGTGCTGGGATTACAGGCATGAGCCACTGCACCTAGCCCCATGCATTTCTTTTGTTTGTTTGTTTGAGACAGAGTCTTGCTCTGTCGCCCAAGCTGTCGTGCAGTGGCACGATCTCAGCTCACTATAACCTCCACCTCCTGGGTTCAAGCAATTCTTCTGCCTCAGCCTCCTGAGTAGCTGGGATTACAGGTGCCCGCCACCACCTGGCTAATTTTTATATTTTCAGTAGAGACAGGGTTTCACAATGTTGGTCAGGCTGGTTTCGAACTCCTGACCTTGTGATCCGCCTGCCTCAACCTCCGAAAGTGCTGGGATTACAGGCGTGAGCCACCACACCTGGCCCCCTTGCAGTTCTCTAAGTTGTTCAGGGGAACTGTTTACTTCTACCTTGGACAAAGGGTCACATTAAAAAGGGTCTCACTGCAGAGTGTCTTGCAGGCAACTGGCTGGCAGGCTCAAATGAGAGGCTGACTTTTAAAAGATATTTGAAGAGCTCAAGAGGGCAGGGTGCGGTGGCTCACACGTGTAATCCCAGCACTTTGGGGGGCCAAGGTGGGTAGATCACCTGTGGTCAGGAGTTTGAGATCAGCATGGCCAACATGGCGAAACCCTGCCTCTACCAAAAACACAAAAATTAGCTGGGCATGGTGGCATGCGCTGTTAGTCATCGCTCTAGAGAGGCCTGAGGCATGATAATTGCTTGAACCCAGGAGGTGGAGGTTGCAGTGAGCTGAGACCACACCACTGTACTCCAGCTACAGTGGGAGTCAGAGTGAGACTGTCTCAAAAAAAAAAAGTTCAAAGGCTCTATGTAAATGTATATTAATTTTTTTTTTTTTTTTTTTTGAGACGGAGTCTCGCTCTGTGTGCCCAGGCTGGAGTGCAGTGGCCAGATCTCAGCTCACTGCAAGCTCCACCTCCCGGGTTCACACCATTCTGCTGCCTCAGCCTCCCGAGTAGCTGCGACTACAGGCGCCCGCCACCTCGCCTGGCTAGTTTTTTGTATTTTTTAGTAGAGATGGGGTTTCACTGTGTTAGCCAGGATGGTCTCGATCTCCTGACCGCTGATACACCCATCCAGCCTCCCAAAGTGCTGGGATTACAGGCTTGAGCCACCGTGCCCGGCCTGTGTATTTTAATTATATACACGTATTTACATGTTTGTACATCTTCCCTGCTTGAAATGATTACCCCGAGGCTTTGCCACATTACAGATCATTAAATAAAGAACACATTCTATTGATTAGATTGTACTTATGAAGGAACAAGATGAACTTGAATATTTCAGGAAGCTTTGTAGCAACAAGAATTGAAATAAACTTAAAAAAGTTTGTTAGGTTTGTTAGGTTTTTTAAACCTAACAGCTTAGTTATTACAAAGTACCCTCCAAGGCAAATTTCATATCTTATCTGTCATTTTTGTGCCTGTCAGCATCTAGCATGAAAGTTTAGGGTAACCCTAAGCATTAAATTCCTTCCACTAAATTTTGGGTTTTAGGTCCTGGACATTTTTCCCAGCTGTATGATCACTCTGAACCTGTTTCCTATAAAAAGGTAATGTAGGTAAAAACACCTAGGTCAGTGGTTGATATACACAGTCACTGGGCAGAACTGGTTGTCTTCCCCATGCTGTTGTGGTAGGAGATTTTTCTAGATTATCCACAGGTGTTCCCATCATGCAGTGGAGAAGGGCCCCTCTTCTTTATCCAGGTTCCTATTTGACATGTATTTAATTAAGATGCTGCTTGAGCCATAGTGTAGAGAATTCAGATGTCTGCTGCTTGTATTTAGGTGTCTTTAGCCTGCCTTAACTTCAAGGTTACTACTAAACTTTAGAGCAGGAAGTGACAGTCAGGTGCCCGCAGGGGCCAGCCAGTGGCGTGACTGAGTCAAGCAAATGGGATTATTGGGCAGTAGGGATGGGGCAGGGGATGGGACTGTGTAGACTGGAGAAGCTGGAGCCCACATACATCTCTGCCCAGCCTCTTATGGCCCTTTGTGAATGTGGTCCTTGATTTTTCTAAAGAAACTGGAAATCCGGATTTTTGTATGAATTTCTCTCATTTTAAAATGTTGACCATCAGTTCCACTTTTTGTTTTTTTTTCTGAGACATGGTCTCACTCTGTTGCCCAGGCTGGAGTGCAGTTAACAGCTCACTGCAACCTTGAATTCCTGGGCTCAAGTGATCCTCCTGCTTCAACCTCCCAAGTAGCTAAGACTACAGGTGCCTGCCATCATGCCTGGCTAGTATTTTTCATTTTTAATAGAGACGAGGTCATGCTTTGTTGCCCAGGCTGGTCTCAAACTCCTGGGCTCAAGCAGTCCTCCCACTTCAGCCTCCGAAAGTGCTGGGATTATAGGCCTGACCCACTGCACCCAGCCCACTTTTTTGTTGTTGTTGGGGACAGAGTCTCACTCTGTTGCCTAGGCTGGAGTGCAATGGCACGATCTCAGGTCACTGCAACCTCCGCCTCCAGGTTCAAGTGATTCTTCCGCCTCAGCCTCCCAAGTAGCTGGTATTACAGGCACCTGCCATCATGCCCGGCTAATTTTCGTATTTTTGTAGAGATGGGGTTTCACCATGGTGGCCAGGCTGATCTTGAACTCCTGACCTCAGGTAATCTGCCTGCCACGGCCTCCCAAAGTGCTGGGATTACGGGCGTGAGCCACTGTACCAGGCCCCAGCCCATTTTTTTTTTTTTTTTTTGAGACAGAGTTTCGATCTTGTTGCCCACCCCTGCTGGAGTGCAATGGCGTGATCTCGGCTCACTGCAACCTCCGCCTCCAGGGTTTAAGCGATTCTCCTGCCTCAGCCTCCCGAGTAGCTGAGACTACAGGCATTCGCCACCACACCTGGCTAATTTTGTATTTTTGGTAAAGACAGGGTTTCTCCATGTTGGTCATGCTGGTCTCGAGCTCCCGATTTCAGGTGATCCACCTGGCTTAGCCTCCCAAAGTGCTGGCACGCCCAGCCGACCCAGCCCACTTTTTAAAAGTTGAAAAACAACGGTGCCATGTAGGCATAAAACTCATTAGTGGGCCCACTGGGGCTTCAGGGCCACTAGTGCAATCTCCACTTTTAAGAGGGAAGAGGCAGTGATACAACTGTGGGAAGAAAAGGACCTACTTCATCGCACCAACTGTGAGTGGATGACAGTAGGCTAAACTGCCCCCCTGCTCTGCCTGAGTGCCACCTGCTACTCACCTGCTCCGCTGCATGCTACCTGCTGTTTCAGCCCTCAGCTGTCTGCACCAGCCCTTGCTAAAGAAGCCATGCTTCTCAATGGACGTACTCTAGCAGAAGAGGCCAGTGATGAGGGATTCCTGGGGACTGCTTTTCCTTCCGAGTGTCCAGGGGTGAAAGAGTGGTCCATGAACCAGGGTCCTGTTCTTCTGTAGCCTGCCAGACACCACAGGCCTGCATGCCCCGGGACATTGACAAGTAGACCTTAATAAAACCATGGGATATGTTGCAACTTCCGATTTTTGCTCTGGGATTTTCCTACCAGGGTCAAGTAGCTTTTTCTGAATTTGTTATTCAGGTTCCTAATGCAACACAGGAAATGGATTTTAATTTTTTTTGCTAGCTGCTCTGTTTGGGGGCTGTTTAATGAGGATGTAGTTGCAGTGTAGCTTTGGCAGTAAGTACTGGTGTGGATGGGAGCGTAGCTAACATGTCAGTTCTTTTTAAAATATGTATGTATGATCTATTATATGTTTTAGTGGAATGAGGCATAGAGAGTATAAATAATGTGCCTTGATTCTATGTAGGTACTCTTGTGGGTAACTGTGTTGGGACACGTTTGGGATTCTAGAAAAAGAATATGAGTCTATTTCATGTTTAGAGAGCAGGAACTGTTTATTGTATGTTCTTTTCAGATCCAGGGCAGTGGTTCTCAAGCTTGAAAATACATAAACATAACCAGGGGAGTGTGTTTTAAAAGGTGGATTTTCAGTCCCTGCCCCCAGAGGGTCTCAGTCTATCTACATTCTTGACAACTACTTCAGATGATTTGGGGCCCATGGACCACACTTTTGGGAAACACATCCCTATTTTGTTGCATTTGTTGTCTAAGCATGTTCATTGTTATTTGGGGGCAAATTCACTTATTTGTAAGATGCCCTTATTGTCCTGATTCACTGTGTTGCCCTTCCTCAGATTCTTGGCTACAGTTAGTCTTTGGGAGGCCCCAGACCAAATTGTTACAGGATGCCCTGTGGGTTGAAGTCAATGGACCCCTGTTGTCCCCACTACTATCCCTGGGACTCCCCTTTGGGGACCG